ATTAATAACAATTAATACATATGATTTAAGTTGTGATTCCTACGATAATAATTATATATTTATCATATTTTTAAGAATTATTATATATTTCTTAATGTATATATATATCGTGTATTTTATTATATTCAAAATAAACCAATCCACATAGATATATCCGAAACACATATTTTATCCGTACATTATAGTTTGTCATCTTAAAATCAATTTAATTTTTTTCTGATACAAATCTAACCCTTTAATTTAAATAAATTATTTTAAATTTAAAGCATTTTTATTTTTCAATACTTTGAGATTAAATATAGTTTATGCATTCATTTTTGCTTATATATTTTAAGTTTTTTTTTAAAAGACAAGACTCTTTAAAATGAATAATATATATAATGATATTATTTGAACGAATTTTCCGTAAAAAATATATCAAATTTTAAAGTGAACAAGTCTTAGAATATAATAAGATTAAGTAAAAATAGAATATAATTGAATAGTAGGTGAAGAATTGTAGTTTTTGAAGATAGAGTATTGAATATTATGTTAAAAATAACACGAAGTGAGAGTGAATGCGAATGAATGAATAAATGGGACGATAAGAAAGGGCATAGAGGAGCGTCGTCGGGGCCAAAGAGAACAATACAGGTCAATAAAATGACATGAAGTGTGATGTGAGGTGGAAATTAGGCTTTGTCTTTTTATTTGTTTTTTCCTTCTTCGTTTTCTTTCTCTTTCTTTTTTTAATATAAAGTTTTGTTTGGTTATTCTTTTGGGGTTGTGCTCAACAACTTTGCCTCCTGCAGAATCATGCCCAATCGCAACACGCGTGGCTCCTCGTTACCTTAATAAGAGCGAGTGGTTTCCACGCGTCTTCGTTTGGTGAGTGGGATCCACTGTCGCACAATCAAACATGGGTAGCATCGTTTTTTTGGAATGGTAACATGGGTGTCATTGTTCATGGTTTGTTTGGTTCAACAGAATTATGAAAGGAGAAATATTAAAATTAATAATAATAATAATAATAATAATAATAATAATTTAATAAGAGGTCATGAAATAAATGAGTGATTGTAGAAATAACATTAGTTGTAGAAGAAAAAACCGAAGGAAAATTGAATTTCGTTGAAGTGAATATTTACTTGTTTATAAATTATATATTTCTTAGTAATAAAATTAATTATCAGGACTGTATATAAGAATAAGATTACTTCTATATTAAAATATCGTTTTTTAAAATCCTTTATCAACCGGATAAGTGGAGAAAAACTTGACTTTTGCTTCTCTTATTTACGAATCCAAAATTCTAAGTTAACAAAATGCTGATTTATTTCGTTAAAAATTGTTAAATAAACTTTAAGTTGATTTGTTTAAGTAAAAGAAATCAAAATTAATAAATATTTGATTAATAATTACATTGTGATGTTGCTTTTTTAAAATACGAAATTCTTATTATGATTTTATTTTTAAAATACATTTCAAATTATCAGAGAGTATATATTCTCAAATGGTTTTCGACTTTGATTCCCAAACAAGTATCACGATAATTACAATGATACTTTTAACCTCAAAGCTAAACACTACTTTTCGTAAATATAATTAATAATTTAAAAATATAGTTTTTTTGCAAAAGTAATAATGAACTTAAGTAGTATTTTTAGCCGATGTAAAATTGTGTGTTTTTTTTATGTATATTTAATTTAAAAATAAAAGGAGTGCGTAGTATAGCTATGATCATTCTTACATATAATGATGCTTCGTCATTAATGTTTTTTTTTTCAGTATGGCAGTTAAAACCATATCACTAGTTCAAGTAATCTTCAGGACCACTCATTCCAATTTCAATATTTTTAAATCTCACACTTCTTGCTAAGATCGTTTGAGAGCCTTTATGTTAACTTCGTATTCGTTTTTATGATTTTTCTTACAAGAATACTATTAGTTTTTATTAAAAAGAGACTACTTTTCCTTTGTAATTTAGAAGAAAACACAATTCAAAATATTTTTTATAATGTAATATTTGTATGATAAATAATTCACATTTATAATATTCAATGAAAGTTAACCGCTACCTTAAATTTTGTGAAGTCACACCTCCTCCTTCTATCAATTGCAGGAAGAAGACAGGAATGACCCTCAACTTGTTTTTAAAAAGGATTATCTAATTTCAAATTGGACAATTTAGAATGTAATTTCATATTTGAAAGTGTATTAAGAATTGTACAGGTGACAATGGATGCGTCATCAGATCGACAAGAAAAAAAATAAGATAAATTGAGTAGTTTAACTAATTGGTTCACTTAGACTAATTGTACATAACTTGACGAATGTGAGTCAATATTGAATTATACTACATTTGACCACTGTAACCCAAATTACTTAAATTTCTAGAATATAGCAATTTTAGCACAACACTTTAACATTTTGTGTATTTCTTAAGTTGTTTATTTATTTTTGGGTTAAATATGTTTTTAGTTCCTAAACTATTGGTCGTTCCTGGTTTGCGTCCCTCTTTCAAAATAAGTTACAATTTGGTTCTCATTTTTTTTAAAATTTTGGTTTTAGTCCTCGAAAACTAACAGTTAAAAATGTGATAGTTTTCGAGATTAGTTTTTAGGACTAAAACCAAAGTTTCGAGGACTAAAACTAGAGTTTCGAAAATAATGAGGACCAAATTGTACCTTATTTTGAAAGAGGGACGAAAACCAGAAACGACCAGGAACTAAAAACATATTTAATCTTTTATTTTTTCTTCAATCTACTTAAAAATAACTCGTTTATTCGTATTCAATTCAAAAACAGTTTCTTCATTTACATTTTTTTTCCTTGTTTCAATGTACTTCAAAATTATTTATATTTTTTATAAGCTTATACTTAAAAGTTATAAATTATAAAATTATAAATATTATTTTTAAAAAAAACAAACCTATATAAATTACTATTTTTACTGATTTAATTAAATAAAAATAAAATTATCAAATTTGGCTCACAAACATATAGACCAAACGTTATATTAGCTAGCATTGATTTTATCAAGCTTTTTACCAATCAGGATGAAACTATCCGCATTTTCATCCCTAACGGATTGTTCAATCTAGATCTTAATTGTAATTTTTGGATTGAACAATGTATTCCTAAATTGATCAATAACTCAGATATCGTTCCCGGATTGGCCAATTTAAAATAAATTTCCAATTTAACAATCCCAAATACATTTCCAATTGTCCAATTCGAGAATAATACCTTAATTTCAAATTACCAATCTAAATTACACTTACAGATCTAAAAATGCATTTCCAAGTATCATTTTTTGAATTAATCGATACAAAACGCGTTCCATTACATTTCGGATTGTCGAATCGGAAACCACCCATTAAAAAATCTTGTCAGGAATGATGAATCCTGAACATTCATCCATTGCTTTTTTTGTTTTTTCAATAAGTGTTGTTTTCATGTCTGGGTTCAAACGTGAATTTTTCCGAACTCTCCATCCTCCGGCATCAGCACAGCCTCCTCCCTCCCAATCACATGTAGCATTGCATCAGCTTTTCCCTACACCCCAATATACTTCATCTCCATTCTCCATTACAAAAAAACCACTGCCATTCACAGACAACAACTAATCAGGACAATACTCAAGGACCAAAACCAATCCAGAAAGGGGGAGGAAGAGTGAGTGGCAGAGGAAGGAGGGAAACGCAGCGGCTCCACGCGAACCAAATAAAGGGAGCACGACCGCGAGTTGGGGTGCAGAATCTTTCGTCTCAGGATTGAGGCAGAGTGGCGGTGACCCGCTTCGCCAACGAAGGCTCTGGTCTGAGGGGAGGCACGCGACGGTGGTTGTTTGCATGGAGTTACTCTCGCGCGAGAGAAAGAAATCGAAAAAGAAAGGGGGTGGAGGTCGCGGCGGCGCAAAGACGAATATGACCACCGAAGACCACCGTGTGAGGAAATGAGACGAAGGTGGAAAAGTGGATGCGGCGTGGAGAAGAAAGGGGAAGATGGGGGACAAAAAGCAATTAGGATTTTTAATGCACTGAGGGGTAAAAGTGGATTTATGAAAGTTTAGGTGCAAGGAAAACAATGGGAGGTGCAGGAAGAAATTGCCCAAGTTGAGGTGTGAGGATAGCAAAATCGAAAATGGAATAAGAGAGCCCTAGTATGAAACGAAGGTAGGCAGATCTTGTAGATGACCACAAATTGATTTTATTCTAAAAATTCTAAAACCACGTTTGAACAGATTTTCTAAAAAAATTTTAAGAGAAAAAATAAGAAAAAATCTTCTTTATTAAATAAAATTAGTTTATACATTAAGTAAATAAAATTACAAAGAGAGTTATATGTAAACTAATTTTAATTTATAAAAAGGTTTCGTGTAAAAATATCCCAGAGCTTTAATGTGTTCCTTTCTATAGCATATACCATTCTTTCTCATTTCTAAATTTAGTATCATACACTATGTCTACACTCAGTATTATATTTCTAAATCCTAGAGTTTTTCTTACTGCACCCTCATTATTACTAGCAGCTCCCATGTTATTAAAAAGACTAACATACCCTTTCGCTCCCACTAGTATCATCCTTATCGTCATCATCTACACATCCATTCTTCACCACACCTGACAGGAAGAAGAATAAATAAAAACTAAAACTCAGTTTTGAAAAGCTCGATAATGTGAAATCTATAATATATTTTTTGAAATGTATTATTTATGTTTTCAAAAGTTTATTGTGAAAATTTTATTTCGAAAAAAACTTTTCAAAAACATATTTGATAAGTTTCAAAAAATATTCTAAAAATTCTGCTTTAAAAATCATAGAAATATTTTCAGGGAATAGGAACAAACCACAATTATTTTAAGTTAACAAAACATAATTAATTTTGATAACATTAATTTAAAATATTAAAAGTAATTATGATTTTGATAACCACACACACAAATGCAGTGTATTCGAAAATTCTAAAACCAGTAAAATTACGAGGGTAGATCTAGAATTTATCAAAATATACGAGATAGTGCAACAAAAATATTCCATTGAATAAATTAATGACAATAAATTTAGGAAGTATATGATAAAATGTTACAGCTGAATATTCTTTCCTCTTATGTTTCCCAGTGTGAAAATCACATCCCAACAGCACATATTGTCTTGGATAAGTTCTCATCACTTCATAAATATGTAATAAACAATATGGGTATGGGCTACCCAAACCAAAACCAAGGGGAAAATTACTATGTATGTAAAAAATAATCACTATGGGCTGAACACTCTTCCAAAAGCACTTCATCACCATACCAGTTTAACTTGCCACGGGCTTTGCGATCACTTTCTTTATGGCTTCAGCGTATGTTCTGTGCTGATAGGTGAGAGTTGATTCAAGCAGGTCCCAAAGTGAGGTCTTAGGATTCCAGCCTGAAATAACAGTCATACACCATTACCACATAAAACATCTTATGTTAATGATGTCAGGTTTTTCCTAAAGAAGACACTAGAGTAGAACAAGGAAACATACCAAGTTGCCTATTAATTATGGTCATGTCAGGAATTCTCTTGTCGCTGTCATCATATCCCTCGCCATAAAATTCTTTGGAGCTCACATCAATAGTAGGCTTTTCCAGAGGAGCTTCTCCACTTACCTTTGAATAAACCTGAAGAATGGAAGGAAAATAACTATTTCATGTCCCCAAACACCATGTCAAAAATCTAATAGGGTCAATCAAACAGTCAAACTCCATGCTTAACCTGAGACATCATTTCAGCAAGCTGCCTAACTGTAACCTCGTTGTTTGGGTTACCCACATTAAAAATATGTCCATTGGCCCTGGCAGGATTTTCCTGTTAACAAGTTATTCTTCACATTTAGTGGAACAATCATCCAACAAGAATAACAGTTTAAAGATGAACTTCTGCAATCAGATAATCTGCACTTAAAATCAAAAAGTCTCATCAAAGATTGGATATGGGAGCATACAATCATCAGCAAGACAGCTTCAATAGCATCCTTAATATACACAAAGGTTCTCTGGGATTGGCCACCATCCACAAGCTTGAGGGGCTCACCACGGAGGAGATTCTGCAGAAAATATTTAGAACAGTGATTCAAAAATAGTGAGCAGCAACATTCAATGTTACAGAAAGTCCTAAATCTCATAAGCTCACATTGCTAAAGCATGCCAGAACCCGAGGAACACCCTCACTTGGTCCATCAATGCCGGGAATGAAATCCATTCTTGGTCCAATCCAATTAAAAGGCCTCACAATTGTGAATTCCAATCCATTTTCAGCGCCTTCACCTGTCAACAACACCATCTCAGTGAGAAAAATCAATTCATGAAAATTTTAAGTCTTTACACAAAGTGTAAATAGAAAAGAGCTTACCATAAATCAGCCTCTCAATCAACTGCTTAGCACAGGCATATGACCATCTCTGCTTTTCAATCGAACCAAAAATACAAGGAGACTCATCCTCCTTCAGCACGTAGTATGCAGGATCCTAACACCACAAGGAAATAACATAGATTATAACTCCACACATTACCCAAGAAAAAACAAGCAAACCATTGCATTGCTGAAATGCTGCTAGACACTTTTTCCATAAATAATATCTACAATCCACAAACTAAAATCAAATTATAGACACCATGTCATCTAATTTACCCAAAAGGTAAGATTGAAAAATTGGTTTTAGTTTATGAAAGAAAAACTCAATAGATTCCACTAGTTTATCTAAACAGTGTGTAAACAACAGTAAAAAACACACAATGATAGATAAAACTATTCATTGAAAAGATCTACCATTGCCAAACAAGAAATCAATGATGCAGTGTAAATTTGAAACCATAGTCGGTTAAGCACGGATCTACAGTAGTACGTCCAAGGAAAGTGAAAGGTTACCTGACGCAGTGCACTATCTTTGGGGAGAAAGCTTCCAATCGTTTTCCCATACACTTCACAGGTAGAGAAGTGAATGAGACGCTTATTGTTTTCCGAACAGTACTTCACCTGAACCCAAAACTCCAATCCTCAATTCCAACTTCCACACCCACACACAGACTGAGAGAGAGAGAGAGAGAGAGAGAGAGAGAGAGAGAGAGAGAGAGAGAGAGAGAGAGAGAGTAAAAAACAAAACAACAGTAGCACGCACCACAGGAAGCGCGTCGATGAAGTTGCTGTAAATGGTGTCGAGCGGGCGCGTGTTGTAATCCGCGGGAGTGCATATAGCAGCCAGGTTAATGGTCTGAAACAAAACAACCCAATTGTGTCTCAAACAGAAAAGTTTTCGGAAACGAAAAAAGATTGCATTTTTATGAGGGAACAGAGTGAAACCAGATCTGCAATCTTGATGAGGCCCTCAAGTCGAGAATCGTGCTTGATATTGAGGCGGTGGAATTGGATGCGACCAGCCCAGGGGAGCGTGTCGGGTTCCAGAAGGTGTTTGATCTTGTCGTTATAAACATCCAAAGCAAAAACCTTGTGAGGGGTTTCGTTCATGAGCTTCTCGCAGAGGTGGGACCCGATGAAGCCACCTGCACCTATCATGCAGATGGTGATTGGTTTTATGGGGTTCCCGTCCAGATCCAATCGCGCCGAAGCCATTGCTCAAGCTGAATGTGAGTCTCTCTGAGAAGAGAAAATGATAGAAAGAGCTGGTAGCTGTGGTAATATATAGAGAAGATGAGTGTTTCTTCTATTCTGTCCCTTCCACAGTGCTGTGTGGTTTTGGTTACTGTCACTGTTAGCGATCGAGTGATGTTAGAGAGTTGCAAGCAAGGTATATATATATAAACTCTGTTTTTTTTTTCATCATTAGTTTAAACAATTTCTGACATCTGTTAAGGATGCTTAGATAGGAATTTTCACGAGAAGACAATAATTTGTGTTGCATGAGATAAAACTTTGGATTGATCCAAATCACACTTTTGCATAGTATTCTGCCTTTGAAGTACAGCTAGCTATGATTCTTCCACCACTTTACACACGCTTATCTTACCCACTCACAGCACATACACACACTAAATCTAATAAGCAAAACCTGTTTCTAATAAACAAATAATTCAAATGTAATAAAAAATTCAAATATGCATTTTCCTATATTTTTAATTTTATCTATAACAATTAATAATAAAAACTGTTTTCTTTAAATAGTTTTATGTGGATATTTTTATGTGTTTGACCTTTTTATCTCGTCTTTATTAACTAACCTTTTAGTTTTTATGATATATAAAAAACTGATAATAAGAAGTAAAAATATTTTCATTGTATAATTATAATAGTTAATACAAGTAAAATATTGGTATAGCTTTTTACACATTTTTTATTACAATTTAAATTTGTGTATTTAAGTAACTATTATTTAGTCTAACAATATTTTTAACTTTATTTATTATCATCAAATAATTCAGACATGTGATATCCGTAACTAATAATTATTATATTATTTCTTAAAATGCACAATAACAAATCATTTAAATGTCAATATTAAATTTTTTGGAGAATGTAATAAATATAATTTTTTTTAATAAAACTATAAATAAATTTATGATGAATTTGAAATTTGACTAAACCTCCTTCTATTTTACCCATAAAATTAAGGTCTATCGAAACCAAAACCAATCCAATTCGAGTATTTGTGTGGCCGTGAGCTGTGCACCAACTGAGACATTCTCCTTGCACCTCACTGCCTTCGTCCTGCACTTCCAAAATATATTTTAATTTCAAAGTATATCTCTCCGCACAGTCAACAAGAATATTTTGAATTTTTAAAAGATTGACTAATTTTGAAACTTGAACTCTGTCTCATCTCACCCTCAAACCCTACACCCCCTTCTAAATCACTCCTCCCTCCTCCCCCCTCCCTCCTCTCCCATTGTTCTCTCTGGTCTCCTCTGCCCCTTTTTTCTCCTCCCTCCTGTGCCAAGCTGTTTGCGTTTCTCCTCCGTGCTTGATTTCTCACAAATCTCAGGTGCTTTCTGGCGTCCAGGTTAGTATCTTGATAAAATGTAGGTATTTGCTGTCATACAAATATATGCATGTGCTTTTTGAGTTCGCTGGGTGTTGGTGTTGGTCGTCGGAGAGCAGCTGCTTAAACGCCAGTGGTCGTAGACTTCCGCAGTTGGAAGTGCGGAAAGTAGGGAAATCGCATATCGATATGCGGAGGGTTTCCCAGGCGGCTCACACTAACCGCACATCCATGTGCGTTAGTTGTCGCCACATTTCGAATATCGTTTAGGTTTGATTTCTAGGTTTTTTAATTTTTTTTATTAGGTTAGTATATATTTATTTTATTAGGTTAATTTTGTATTAGGTTACTATATATTTATTTTATTAGGTTTATTTTTTATTAGGTTAGTATAATAAATTTAATTTTTTTTGTTAGTTGCGAGTGTTTAGACCAACACGAGCATAGGTCTCCCATACTAGATCCCAATAATCTCTTCAGGTTCCAGTGCGCAGACTCAACCCTGTCACATATCACATTAATACATTACACACAAATTTGAAATACATAAGTACATAAGCCGATGAAAATAAAAATTACTTGTTTGTTGTAGTGTTGCCTAGATGCATAACTTTGTTCGTCCACGCTTTGATAAAGTATGTCTTGTACGAAATTATCCAAGTGCGGTTGACATAATCAAAAAATAGAGGCCATGCAGAAGAGGTATACTCAAGACGATGAACATAAGCACTAAACATGGACTGGTCGTCACAATCCATGACATTCTGCCACACTTCCATCAACACATCCACTGACTCAACCTTATCCACTAACATCTTGCATTTCGCTCTAACATTTTTCGCAATGTGGAATGTACATAGCATCTGATAAGTCTCCGGAAAGACATTATTAATTGCATTTATCAAAGCAAGGTCTCTGTCAGTGATAATAACGCGTGGACCGCCCTCTGATGTCAATAATAATCCTTTGAACCTTTCCAATGCCCAAGTGAAATTACTTTGGCGTTCACTTGAAAGTAATGCAAAGGCGGCTGTGAATGTCAAACCAGTTGATGTGACTCCCACAATCTCGAGCAACGGAAGTCGATATTTGTTCGTCTTGTACGTCGTATCCATTAAGAAAACAATATTAAAAGAATTGACTAAGTGCACTGAATCGGGATGTGTCCAAAACAAGTCACTTACCACGTCAGAATCGTC